AGTGGAGGCTGAGGGAAAGCCTGAAGTGGAGGCTGAGGGAAAGCCTGCAGTGAAGGAGGAGGGAAAGCCTGCAGTGAAGGAGGAGGGAAAGCCTGAAGTGGAGCTGGTCGATGTGAAGGAGGAGGCCACGTCACCAGCCGAGGCCAACCAGAATGACGAGAAGGCCGTGGAGGAGGCTGTGGAGCGTGTTTCGAGCGCTGTCCAGAAGGCTGTGGGGAAGGTTGTGGATCGTTCTTCGAGTGACCGTGATCGTCGTTCAAAGAAACGCCCCTCCAAGAAGAAAAGGAAGAAGTCAAGGAGACGGTCCAGGTCAAGGCGACGACGCCGTTCTTCATCGACGAGCAGCCGAAGTTATCGCTCAAGGCGGCGCAGACGTTGAATTTGTATGAGTGAGTGTGAAAAACGTTGCACTGGCGCGTTCTGGCTTTGCCGTGTGATTCTTTCCATTTCCTGTTCATGCATTCCAAGCTAGAAGAATGAAGAGCTCATATTCACCATGAGAGAATTGATCAGTCTCTTGATGAACCATGAGAGGTTTACTTGAGAGTCAATTTAAGGCTTATTTGAGATGAGAGGTTTAGTTTTCAAAGTTTGCCTTCAACCTCAGAGAGTATACCATGAGAGTTCACTTGAGAGTCCATGAGAGGTTTGTGAGAAACAATTTCTAGGGAATTAGACTATCTAGAGTATCACTTTAAAGGAAGTTCGTACGATCAGGACAGCTTGAAAGTGTAACCTGAGGGAACCTTGAGAGTGTACCTTGAGAGAACCTTGAGAATGTACCTTGAGAGAACCTTGAGAGTGTACCTTGAGAGAACCTTGAGAGTATGTGACTTGAGGGAACCTTGAGAGTATGTGACTTGAGGGAATGAAGACTTCAGAGTCTGTAGTATCATCATCTTGAAGTATAATTCGACATGATTGTCATGTCTCAATGCCAGCTCAAGTTCGAGCAACAAAACTATCTTTAGACATCGTCTAGCTTTTGTAGTTGTGAAGCCACGCAGTCCAGCAAGCAGCCTGAACATCATCAAGTAGAAGCTGTTGAGGAGGAAGTTCCAAACGACGACATCACCGGCTGGGTCGCTGTGGATCAAAACAACATCATTCAGGTTTTTGGGGAGGTGTCCCAAAGATCAATCGACCTCATGAAGATTATCCATGGAGATCTCACTTGTGGAGAGGAGCCTGAGGTTCGGTACAACCCTGTGCCCAAGAAGGATCAAGGATATCCAGCAGAGCCTGATGAACCTGCTTCTTCATCCTCACAGCCGCCGCCTTTGCGCAGAATGCCCCACCCAACGGACAACGCAGTCTTGGAAGAAGCCGGCAAAGATGATAAACCCAAGGCTCAGAAACGCAAGTCCAAGAAGAAGAAGGGCAATAAGGGCAAAGGCAAGAAACATCGTTGAGCACTACATGTGATGTGAGGCTTGCGGTTTTTGAATGTGTTTCTCTTAGGCTTTGGCAGTGAGATTCACTGAGTTTGATTGACTGAGTGCAGGCTTTGCAAAAGAACTCAACAAACAAATGAGCTGTGATCATTTGAAAACCATGACAATGAGCGAGTTCCTGAACTGTGTTCTGAATCTGGTTTGAGACTTTGAGAACATTTTTCACCAAACACCATGAGAGATTTTTGAGAGACAGAAGGAAGGCCAAAGAGTCAGGGGTCGAAGTTTGGTCGAAACTTCGTCGAAGTTTCGACTCGAAGTTTGGTCGAAGTTTCAACTGCTATCGAAGTTTACTTTTGTACTATGTTAACAAAACACTGTAAATACCATATGTTTTGAAGGTTGTATCTTAAACTTCGACTAAACTTCGACCAAACTTCGACTAAACTTCGAGTCGAAACTTCGACGAAGTTTCGACCAAACTTCGACCTGTCATCATTGTAGTAAAAGAAAAACTAATGAAACCATACTACAAACCTTCAGGAATTCAAAGAGTTTGTGTTGGAATTCTTCAAAAAATGCTTGATGAACCTATGAGCGGACACTTCATTCTTCAACATTTGACCTGTTGACCTCTGTGGATTTCTTCCAATCAGCGCTCAAGTCGATCATTTTTGTACGAAGAATCTTGCTTAGATAGTACGCGTGATCGCTTATCATCATGCCTCCCGTGAAACGCCCAGCTAGCGCAGAAGAAGGTCCCAGAAAGAGGCCTGCAAGTTCCATCAACCAGACGGTCAGAGAGATCAAAGAGCAGTCTGCGGCCATGAGCGAAACCCGAGACAAGGGGAAAGGTGAAAAGTTCGCGAAGATGTTGAAGGCAGGAACCCTCCCCCCAGAGGTGGTGCACATGTGGAGCATCGAATCGAAAAAGCCTTCAAGACTGAGCTCATCAACTCGCTATTCGCAAAGCAGAAGGACGGCTCGTATCGCATCGACACGGACTCCCACCAATTCGCACAATACCGCAAGGTGCACCATGCCCACATCGCGAAGACCAAGGACGAAGCATTGCCGAAGAACCTCATGATCGGTACGCACTTCAGTGGAGACGAGCGCCTCTTCAACAGAGCTTTGGAGGACAAGGAGCTTACCTCTTTCAAGGATGAGGCGTCCGGCATTGAGTACTACAGCTTCCGTAAGCTTCAGGCTGTGGATTTGCATGCGTCCGAGCAGGGCGAGCATGTGCATGGCTACAAGAAGCTTGGGAAGGATCAAGCTTACACCTTGGGTGCCCTCATGACGAAGATGAAGTGGGACTTCAAAATGACCAAGGCACAGAAAACATGTTTGTAAGAATAGGATAACGGCGCTCAGTTCAGAACACTTTGTTTTCATGAGCTCTGCAAGTGTGGGAAGTGCCTAGTCCTTGAGAAGAGGAGTGGAGAGTTTTCTTGTGAGTCTTGTGAACTGAAACCTTGTCTACGGAAAGCCATCAGTATAAACCGTTATAAAAATAATACTAAACTTTTTTGAGGCTTTAGCCACATATCCTTCAGCCCATTGCTGTTTAAAGACAATATACAGAATTGGTGTTCAATTCATGAGGCAGAACAAAAGAGTTTGGACAAGGACGGCGAGATTCCCAAAGGTTTTGAAGCATTGGCATCTAAAGCGAAAGATGCCGTGGAAAGACTCTTGAAGGAGGGAAAGAAAATCGCCAACCAGATTGAAGACAAGGCCTTGATCAAGAACGGGTTTACCACGCTGACAGGCCATCTCAACGACCTGAACCATTGGTCTATGTTCCAGGAACTGCCCAACAAATCAGTGCCATCCAAGGCAACTTTGGAGTCCTTCGTGGGGAAGATTGCAGTCGATGTGGATCGTTTCAATGGGGAAATTGAAGCTGCCAAAGGTCGGCTTAAAGCCCGTAAGAACTGAAGCGTTACACTTAGCTCGGCTGCTTAGTGATCATGCCCACGCCTCCAGCTCTTGGGGAAATTTTGATGGGGGGTTATTCTATTTTGGTTTAGCCCATATACCAAAAAGAACATTAAACACCCTATGGTTCGAAGCTGTTCTCCATATCTTTGCAGGTTCTGAGTTCAAGCTGTTCTCCATGTGTCCTTTACAAGTTATTGTTTGAAGCGGTTTTCCAAGTCCAAGTCGGGCTTTTTCCAAGAACATCATCTCCAAGAGGAAAGGCAAGTGGCTGAAGGATCCCTGATGGATCGAAAGCTGGCAACGTATGAGAGTTGAAAAAAGAACCTTTAGATCATGATGCTTGAACTTGTATATACCGGAAAAAGTCTTGAGCTGGCAACGTATGGAAAACCGATCCCTGCTAAACAAAGTATCTTTCAAGCAGTGCTGACACGCAAGTGCTAGAATATGTTTCCCATATATGTGTCCCTGGGATATCTCTGTTTCTCTCAAGGTGTTGTGCGCTCAGGTCATCTCATGGCTCAGATTTGTGCCTCATGGCTCAAACTCCCTGCCAAATATATTGACTGAAGTTGGGGAGTTTGCAGCGTCTACCCAAAAACCTCAAGCCCTGAGTTATCCTTGAGTGAAAAGAGCATCAATTTATGGTTGGCCAAACCCTGCCCTTGCCTGAGCTTGGATTTTCTGAAAACACAAGTGAAAACCTCGAACTTACAAGCGCGTTGTGACAGAGGGAACACTGTGGGGAACCTAGCTTTTCAGAATTTGCAAACATATATATAGAGACAGTTTCGATTCATGCTTAATCATTTTCAGAACTTACAACGTTTGGACAAAAAAGAGTGGAGATCGTTTTTGCCACAGGCACGAGTTCAAACAAAACGACATCAACCAACAGTTGGCTTTCTCTCAACAAAGTTTTATTTCAAACACTTCTCTCAACGTTGCTCTCTCAAGGTGAGATCCCTCCTCTCGCTCCTCTCAAGGTGAAGTTACTCCTCTCAAGGTGGCCAACCAGTGGGAGGTTCCTAAGGTGAAGCCCTACACGAGATGTATTCGAGCCTTTTGCTAAGAAAACATTTTCAATCAGTTTCGAGATGCATACGTCAGAATATGTTTCACTCAAATTCCTCTCTGTCTCTCACGGTTCTGACACTCATGGTTCATGGTTCAGGTCTGACACTAACGCTTTCCCAGATCTTCTCATAGCTCAAATGTGGCTAGGCCGTGCACTGCAAACTCAATGTATTACGAGGCCAAAAGGCATGACAAGCTGAAGACCTATAGAGCGAAAAAAAGAGTGAGATCTCAAAACTGTTTAAATGACAAATGAACGCCACTGAAGCCACTTTGCGCTTCAAGAGAAAGTCTCCTCACACTCGAACCTCTTCAGCAGTTGAGCCGCTTAAGACGCAATGTGTGCATGAAGACAGGCACTGACAAAACACATAGAGTCTGACAGGAGACCTTTTTACCACTGCCACATGTAAAAGACATTGTTTACACTGTTACACCTTTTGCGCCGGTATGTATTGAACATGGAGCCACCCAGAAAGAAACAAAAAAGAGGTGGTATAAAACAGAGGATTGCCAGGGCCAAAGAAGCCGAGCGGGCCGCGCACAACTTTGAGGGCAGCAGCACTTTGGCAGCCTTACTTCTTAGTTTGTTTGCGTGGGGGTTCTTCAGCCCCCAGCGGGTGCAAGAGATCGCTGCTCGCGCTGTCCAAGACATCGAAAATGCTGCCAACAACCCAAGTGTGATTGAGGAGTTGAAGATTCTCCAGAGCCTTGGGACCAAGGGGAAATACAGCAACAAAATGCACGGCCAACTGATGGAAAGAATTGAATGGGTTTCTCGGCTGCCTAAAGGCTATAAGTTTCAAATCCCACTCCGAGGGTTTCGACAAACTTGCAGCCAAATGATGCTACTCCCACACGAGCTCTTCTCTGTCATCTATCACAGCTACAAAGCAGTTTGGAGCAAAACTGTGGCCCCATCCGTGGACACTGTGAAGAAGTTTTGGCACGCAGTCAGACTCCACCCGCAGATGCAAGACCACCCCATGAAAGCCAAACCAAGCTGGAATGAGCGCACAGTTCCAATCGCCGTTCACGGGGACGGTGTCCCGATTGTAGGTGTGGGAAAGGCGTGGAGCCGGATGATGACTCATTATTCCTGGTATTCCCTTATCGGTCAGGGGAAAACAAGCTCTATGCTCATGTGGATTTGGGCTTTTTACGACCGCCTTAAAGTTGGGGATGTGACACATGGAACTTTGCATGAGTTCTACAAGATTCTCCACTGGTCATTTTTATGTCTTGCTGAAGGCAAGTGGCCGAGCCATGACCCCTATGGTAAAGCGCAGCTCGACTATCACAAACCCAGCTGATTCTTTTTGTCTTTTGTATGAATGCCATGTTGAAATGAAAACGCAATGTGTCCATGTTGAATATGTCCGTTCTATCTGTGTCACAAAACCCATATATATATATATATAGCGAGTTTTGTAACATTGAAACACTCAGACAGGTACCAACCGGGAACTGCTGAACACAAAAGAGCCAACACATGGCTAGCTGATGGTTGGTGTGCTCTTCGCCCTCACTGGCGACTTGGACTATCTACATGGTATGCTAGGGTGCCCGAACGCATCTCTGGTGAGTGGTCCTTGTGTATGGTGTCAATGCACAGGTACAGGTGAGAACACCTGGTGCGACTTCAGGCAGGGTGGGCCTTGGAGGATGACCAGGTGGTCGCCGCAAGAGTGGCGATTGTGGGAGAATAGGAATCGGTTGTCGCTGCTCACTTTGCCAGGGGCATCGTGTTGGACAATACACTATGACTGGCTCCACTGTAAGTACTTAGGTATGGACCAGTACATTTTCGGTTCCGTCATGGCGGTCCTGGTGAACTATGTGATGCCACAGTCAGCGGAACAGAACCTGCAAACTGCATGGGCCTATCTCAGGCAGTTCTTCAAAGACAACCAAACCCCCACTCCTTTCAGGTATATGAACAGGCTGTCAATGTTCCTGCGTGCTGCAGGAAAGTTTCCGAAATTGAGAGGCAAGGGTTCTGAGATTCGACACTTCGGGAAGGCTTTGCTGTCGCTCTGGTCAAAGGAGATGAATGTGCATCTTTCTTTGCACAAAAAAATTTTGCTCATGTTGCAGCTGAACGTGGAACTTGAGGACACAATTACCGAGTTCAAGGAGGAGTTCAGTTTCCCCCCAGGCATCGCACAAAGATTTGAAGAGGCTTGCTCTCAGATGCTCTTGCTCCTGACCCAAATTGCAGAGCATTACTTACAGGAAGACATCAAATACTTTGACATTACGAGCAAGTGTCATATGGTACAAGAATTGGCCATTATGTCAAAATGCATTTCGCCTAGAGTTGTGTGGGTGTTCGCCGGAGAAGACCAGATGCAAAAGATGCAGTCCATAGCCCAAACCTGTACTCGGGGCAACAAAGTTCCCCAACAGTCTGTCAAGCTTTGCCGCCATTACCGTTTGGCTTTGCATTTCCTTTTTGAAGAGCAGTGTGTTGGGCTGTAACAACCTTTTGAGCATAGTTGATCCACAAAGGTGCGCCACCGGTATAGACGAAAAGGGGCTGCTGCGACGCAGACAGAGGATGACATCAACAAAAGCAGCAAGAAGGATTCGGGTATTGATATAATTAACCAATATTTAGTGCAAACTGACCTTGTCGACACATGTTCTGTGTATTCCCCTGCTCTTTTTCTGTCACCGCATATTCCTCATACTTTTGCAACACATGTCCTGGTATGGCTATTTTCAGAACCAAACCATGAGAGGCGTTTCGAGAGACCATGAGAGGCACGTTGTTTCCACCATGTTCTAGCTTTTCAATATATCAGATGTGTCTTCTAGAAGAGAACATTAGCATATGTCAAGCTTTTTGCAACAACGGGGGGGTCGAAGTTTGGTCGAAGTTTCAGTTTTGACTATTTTTAAGGAATATATATATTTCTTAAAAATATATATATTTCAATCTAACTATTTTCTAGGACTTCTCGTCAAATCTGTAGAAAATAGTTAGTCACCAAAAACAAGATATATATCTTATTTCATCAGACTATTTTCAAGGATTTTTTTTGAAAATATATATTTTTTTTGAAAAAATTGACTATAATAGTTACTATTTTATATATATATTCTTTAAAAATAGTCAAATTCCTAGGATCGAGCCTAAAGCAAGGAAATAGGATAGATCAGTCTATTGGGTGATGAGATGCAAGCCCATGAACTGGCTGAGAGCCTGGGGTAGGAACCCCAAGAGGCCATCGAGTGAGTTGGCACTGGTCTCTTGGAAAATCAAAGAACCTATGTGCCCCCCCCACTCATGCTGGTTCCCCTTGGAAAGCCGGTGCCCCAAGAAAGGAAAAGCTAAAAAGCCGTACCTGACTCCCACTCACGAGCTGGTTGCCCCAGCCAAAAACCGACAAGAAGAAACGGAGCACCCCCCCAAAGGGAACTGTGGGCCCCCAAGGCTTAAAGGCATCGAGGCCCTGGACCACATTGGCATGGAAGCAGTGCTAGCTAAGCTAGCTGACTCCACCAGGAGAGTCTATGCCTCTGGATGGAAGCAGTGGGTCCTTTTCAATAGTGGGGCTAAGTCACCATTGTTCCTCACGGGAGAGGAGCGTTCCGATCGGTATGAAGATGAACAGAGGCTGATCAGGTTCGTGGTTTTCCTCCACCAAATCATGGGACGCTCCATAGGAGGCATCCGAAAAAGGCTTTCAGCCATCCGTTATGCCCACATCACTGCCGGTTACCCCGACCCACTCTCAGGGAAACCTCGGCTGTGGTCTGCCGTAGCCGGACTGGAAGGGGCCCCAACCAGAAAGCTCCCAGTTACCCCAACCATGCTCAGGTGGTTGAGCCAGCACATCCAACGAATGGGTCTAACCGTGCCAGACCAAGCCATGGTTAGAGGGGCCCTGTTGACTGGGTGGTTCTTCATGCTG